TCTCTCTCTCTCTCTCTCTCTCTCTCTCTCTCTCTCTCTCTCTCTCTCTCTCTCTCTCTACTTCTCTCTCTGTTTCCCTGTTCTCTTCCTCTCTATACCTTACGCTTTCAACATATTTAATGGGACCCTGCCGGCTTCCGTAACACGTATCATCGCGTGTAGGTGTCTTTGGCCGCTCTGGCATTTTCTGGAATCTCGTGCTGCCGCGAGTTCTGATCTATCGGCGATTGCCGCGGTAGAAACGCCGTCCGGTTATGACGAGTGCCAGACTACGCACGGGCGGATACAACAGAGGAAAAGGCGAAATGACTTCATCTTAATAAATTACGTCCCCGAGTAAACCTCACGAGTGCGGCTTCAAAAAGATTCTCAGAAGAGTCGTGGCGCGGCCGCGCGCGCTATTTTTGGGGAATAATTCCTTTTCATCTTTACGTAGTACACCACGCGCGTCTGTAGTCTTCGCAAACACCGCCTACGCGGCTTGAGCCCATTCTTTTTGCCATAAACGATATTACGCAAGGCGCTGTAAAATGTAAATCTGCTCTCGTTAAATGCCGTTCGAACTTCGATATCGCGATTTTTCGTGTAATCTTTCTTTCTTTTTCGTTTTGATGACTTAAGTAGGCTGCAATTTTTATCCACATGATGAATAAATACAGAAGGACGTTCACTCAGTTGTGTTCCAGGTGATAGTACTAAGCGTGATACAATATAAAGATTCAATAGGCTCTTTCGATGAAGAATCAGAGCGCATAAATCGTAAATGTATCATATATAGTATTGAGTGCCTTCGATCTCGTGTAAACACAGTACAGAAAATTTATAACTTAATATGACTTTTTTCTCATTTACGTCTAACCGAATAATCACGCCTAAAGAGGAATGTCACGTGACCAGGGAAGCGTAACTCTAACTCAGCAAGTTATATTCCATTCTTCGTGTTATCCATGTATACACAAAATAGAAAACATCAATATGACTCTTGAGCTTTCCTCTCATTGATGCCTAACCGAATTATGAGAGGAAAGGTCGGTTGGAAAGAGAAATGTTCCTTTCGGCCTCACAAGTTGCATTCCAAACTTCATATGCTTCGCGTGCACACCACAAGATATATAAGCTCAATCCTACTTTCAGAAAACGATTTTCGAAAATGCAAGAATTATTTTCAAAATTTTGCGAAAGTTACTAAAGGAACAGTAAAACTTTCATCCTTATTGTGATGAAAGTTATTCAATGATTTTAATGAAATTGCTGCAATGTTTTCTTCTATTTGTCCCAATTTCCTGAACGTCATTGTCTTTAATTCCTAAATCCTAAACGCGTTGTGACTAAATTAAATTGTAAACGTAAATTGTAAAAGTAAATTGTGACTGTCTCTAATTCAATATATTTATTATCTTAGAAACATAGTTCGTTTTACTCAATCTTTAGTGTGAGAAGTTATGGAGAAACATAAAGTTATGGGAGAATTGGGAGGAATGACGACGGAACCGAGGGTCGAATAAGTCGAGCATGGTAGTTCATTCGTTTCAATAATGTTTCCGTTTATTTAGCTTCGCTATACACTGTATACTAAGTCGGTTTACACACGCGCTCCTAGTTTATTCTCACGCGCCTATCACTTTACGAACCGCCTTTATGTAGATGTACATCTTAATCGCTTTCCCTAAATTCACTAAACTCATAATCAGGTATATTGCAGTGTCCCATCTATCATTTACGATTTCATTTTTTTTTCTTTTATTCTAATCATGTATAACGGCTCTATATCATGTCTATGCGTAATGTTATAAAGGGGAAACGAGAATATATATATATACATTGTATATACACGACGGCGACGACAGGACGCCGTTTATAATTTACGGGAATAATATTCGCTTAATAATTTATTATCGACGGTTTTAATCGGCCCTCTTCATGGTCCGCACTATCTCTTTCTCGTTCGTGATTTTATAATAAATACATTATAATACAATTTTGCGCTGCGCGCAGACTATGATACGCTTTCGCTTCTACTTAATGCCGCGATGTACGATGCAAAAATGCCACTTTCGTTTCTGACAGGCACAACGAAAATTTCCCTCCGAATATAATCGCGTTCCACCTTTTGTTAATAAGAATTCGCAAAATTTCGTCGGATTTTTAGTTGAATTTATTTTGTTTATAATAAACATAACAACACACGCCTTGTTTCATCAAATTATCCGATGTCGTTATGCATCATTTTTTGTTATCTCTTGGATAATTATTTGATTACATATTTGATCCGACGAACCTTCGCAAGCTCTTAATAAATTTTATGGATTCATGCTTGTAAGACTTACTAAATGAATAACAGTAAGATGACTTTACAAGTACAGTTTTCCATATCAAGGCTACACTTATCGTATCGGAGAAAGACGTTATTGCAAATTTTATTACATTTGATTAAAAAAAATTAACACATTTTCGTACATACATACATTCGATTTGTAAATACAACTCGTGAAATAAACTACTATAATATTTGAGATACAAAACCGTGGCTATAGATCCAGACAAGAATTAAGTTAGATTAGTGACAAATCAAATAAGCCCGAGAAAAAGCTATTGATCGGAGAATTTTCTTCATGCTTTTCTCGAGAAAAACATGAAAACTCGACAAAGAGTTACAAACAGTGCATAAAAAGAAAGGTGAACGCGCGCGTGTATTATTCTGAAAAAGAAAAATATTTTGAAATTTGAAAAGTAGGACAATTTCCTGAAAAATCGTAATACCAAAATTCGAGTATCAGGATAATTTTTCGAAATAGAATTTTACTGAAATATCGAAATTGTCTCGTTGTACAGTTGAGTACATTAATATGTAAGTGCAGCAAGAATGAATAAATCCAAATGAGTAGACATTATCCCGAAAAAAAATATACCAAAATTTAAAAAGTGGAAGAATTTTCTAAAAAATCATAATACTGAAATCTGAATACCTAGATAATCTCCTGAAATACAATTTTGCCGAAATATTGGAATTGCATAGGTGTATTAGTATCTACTCATTTAAATACAAGAGTATACTCAAAATATTAACCCTTTGCCATCCGTTGTTATCTTAAGGCAATACTTCAATAATTCAAGTCGATACAGACATTAATTCAATCAATTCTTCTCCAACAAAATGTAAAATGTTGTTGACAACACTGTTTCTCATGATTTTCATTTAGTTACTCCAAGATTGACAATTCTAAATAAGTACAATTCATTAATATTGTATTTACCTGTCATAAAATAGTGGGCTATATAGAATATTCTTGTGCATTATTATAATGTATAAAAAGTAGAAAATTGATATTATGCAAAATATATAGTTTGCATTAAAAATAAATATAATATCAAAGAATTGTTTCTCTAATATTTTGATTTCTAAAAAAATAGTTAATAGAAAAATAAAAATAAAATATTTACATTGCTCGAAACAATAATAAATAAAAAAAAAATTTTTTTGCGTATAGAATTAATTTAGGATTAAAAGGTTAATACACATATCCTGTTTTCGGGTTTGAATCGATCACATATTTTAAGAAAATTGTATTTTGAGATATTGTTTTGTATTTGAATTTTAAAGGAATTAATACACATATCCTGTTTTCGGGTTCGAATCAATCACATATTTTAAGAAAATTGTATTTTGGGATATTATGTTGTATTTAAATTTTGGTGTTATGTATTTTTTTTTTAATTACATAATAGTCTTAGTTTTCAAATTATGAGACATTGATTTTTCAGAAAAATGCATGTCCACCATTAATATATTTGTGTGCACTGTTTTTCTCAAAATAATAATTCTTCAAAGAAATCAGTATTTTGGAATAGTCTCGGTATTCAAATTTCGGTAATATGACTTGTCGGGAAATTTCCACTTTTGAGATTACGACTTTTGAGATTTTAATTGTTCGTAACAACGCATGTTCACTAAAAATTAATTTCTGTAATATAACTTGTCGGGAAATTTCCACTACTTTTGAGATTTTAATTGTTCGTAACAACACAAGTTCACTAAAAACGAAATACATCGAATGTACCGAAGCAGCGTTTCTGAAAAATTTGACGCGGCGTGAAACGATCTTCGTGTGTGCCCTCCGCGAGTAGTATGCCGTACAAAATCATTCCACAATGTCATCGTATGTTCGATCGTTACTTACGCGAAAAGACACAACGGTACTGTCGCGCGCGCACGAGCAACTATATCCGAGCGACTATATCCGTTATCCAATTTCTCCGCCACCGTCGAGCCTCGATTGCACGCAGAAAGAAAGTCTTAAGGCTAAGGCGATCTCGGGCGTTCTACGACTTCTCGTCCATAGAGTTTGGCAATGGTCGTTTCTTCAGAATTCCCAAGTCCTGCACGTTCTCTAAGAACGTCTTGTGGTGTTGGGCGACCAGAAGTGGATTCACAGTCTGCACATCCTTCTTGAGTTCCTCCATGTCCCTCTTGAGCTTCGCCCTCCTGTTCTGGAACCACGTGATCACTTGGGCATTGCTCAAGCCAAGTTGAGCGGCGATCTCGTCTCTATCGGCCGGGCTCAAGTATTTCTGATAGAGGAATCGTTTCTCCAGCTCGAAAATCTGCTGATTCGTGAACGCGGTCCGACTCTTGCGCTTCTTCTTCGGCTGCTGGCGATTGTTGAACAGGTTCAAGTGATTGGCTTGCTCTGCAACACAAGACGTGCAGATACTATTAATCGTGTGCGTTCATATTGTGCCGAATAATAAAAGCAATTTTCGTTTATAAAATTATTGAAATCGGGTATATGAGCGAATGAAGTAAAGTTGACTCATAATTAAAGGCTGACAAGGCTGTGGAAATCTCTCGCGGTGACTCCGGAGCTAATTAAAATACATATTTTATATGTGGCCTTCTCATCCTAAATTGCTTGAACGGTAGGGTGAGATGACCATGTTGCAGCATATTTAATTTCGGTTATTATAATACAAAATATTGTTAATAGGTTCATGGCGAGTATTAGCATATAGAAGAAATCTTTGTACAATCAATCACGACAATTATTTGTCTTTCGAAGTTACAACTTCAAAATTCTGGCACATAGGACATATAAACCTCAATCTCCATTACAAGCTGCAGGACTTTCATATCAGGCAAATATTTACGCTACTAGTTCGAACTTTTCTTTGGTCTAACAATTAATAAGTAAGCGTAATTTGAACGTGATAGAATTATGAGAGAGGATAAGTTAGAACATAAGTTATATGTCACGTTAATTTTATTGTAACTTATTAATTGTTAGAGCAAAAAAGAAAGAGTTTGGAATATTTTATAGAGTTGTTCAATCGTTTGCAAGTGTCATTGTATAAATAAATCTTTTTATTTCAACGTATTTTGCAAGAATTTTGATCATGTATTTTCTCGTTTCTGACGTCATCAATGTAAAATTTCGCGAGGAAACAGAAGTATTAAACTCTACCCTCGTTATTCTATCAGGCGTTGAAATGGATGTTTTTTCTTCTTTTTGAGAGAGAAACAAAAATATTATTTGAACGAGTAAAAATTACTCAATTACCCTATCTTAATCGCACGATAGATTGTTACTATCTTTCTAGAGTTAAGAATTTTAGTATGAGTAAATTTATGCTATACCTTTCTAGGGTTAATTTTGCGCAACCATTGCGTGCACGTGTGCAAGTAAAAGAATCTCCCAAATTAATACAGAAAACAAACACCGCCGCGCAGTGCTAAAAATTGAGAGAGAGAGAGAGAGAGAGATGATTCGTAATGAAAGGAATTGTTAAGGGAACGCTTTACGACTGTGAGTAATCTTATCAACGATCCCGCGCACGGTTTCTCGCGAAAGATCTGAAAGCGATTCGGCTTTCGCAGTAGCGTTACACCGCATCACCGGTTATTACGTGCGCTCCGGTAATGAATGAGCAAAAGTGCTCTCGCGCGCTCGTAAGGGAGAGACCGCAAAAGGTCCGTCGATATAGCGGCAATTAAATCCTGCCGATAACAAGACCGTCGTCCGGCAAGCGTCTCTCTCTCTCTCTCTCTCTCGATAATTAGCTACCGATACGAATAGCATATTAAGATTTTATCGTCAACGTCGTTCGTGTAATTGCTCGTGCGAACTTACGCAGCGGAAAAAGTTCTTCCGCGGAAACACGGCCGCGCGTAAAGAAAAAATGAAAAACAGTGGTCGCGTGCATACACGCGTGGGGGAGGAAAAGGGGAGAATCGGGGAAACGAGAAGTGAGCGTTTAGTACGCGCCACCGTACCTTATCGTCTTCGCCACTTACTTGATGCGCGTTATGCGTGGTTAATCGCAGGAATAAAGTGAGATGGTAATACGATAAGGGGAGATATTACCGGAGATTTGATCTGCCGTGTATCGGGGCATATTCGCCTCCCCTCCTCTCCTCTCCTCTCCTCTCCTCTTTCCTTCACCTCCCATCTCATACTGTGTAGTTTCACAAAGCCGCGGGTAAACACGGAGTGTATGTACACGTGTAGTGGTAATTGGGACAAGGTGATCACTAATTAATTTCGCGAAATTGCCAATAAACGGCAACGTGCGTCGATCGAAGCGATCGAGGAGCGTGCAGATGTGCGGTTTGTAACGGCGTCTTGGGAACAGTTGATTCTATAAAACGCAGAGATGACGTTAGATTTCACATTCTCGGCACACGCAGTCTACACTTTCATTCGCGAGATAGACCTTCAAAAAGTGTTGCTTCCCCCCTCTCTCTCTCTCTCTCTTTCTTTCTCTCTATTTCTCTCTTTCTCGCATTCATCTCGGCTTCAACTGATTTCTTCGGAAAATATCTATGTTCCTTTATAAATGACATCCGCGACTTCTTAGACGCTATATACACGGGTATCTCACCGAATACTACCGAAACTTCATAATCCCGAAGCGACCAGGCGGGACATGCAAAACGAATCAAAGCTTTTTTCAGGCGGCCGCCGGAATTGTGGCTCTGGAGAGCCTTCTCTAAGGGCTACAAATTAAATGTATTTTCGAGGCATGGAAGGGCTCTCTCTCACACACACATACATATACACAAACATACTCACTCGCTCACTCACTCGCTCTCGCTATCTCTTTCTCTTTCTCACTCTTTCCTCTCCATAAAAGTATTACGCATTCGTTACGGTGCTCCGGCCACGGAATTCCGAGAGCCATAACTACGATAGATCCCGGTGATCTAGCTGGGGCTGTATCTCAAAACGCTTCCAGCGGATGCGTCCGTCGTCTTTAGTATTAAATCCCAAAGCGGCTGTGTGCTTGAAATGAAACGTGTACAGGTGTAAATAATCCGTGCTCGCGACTTTACCACATGCACATCCGCTTCTAAATAAAATGCAAAATAACTGTGTTAAGAAGGCCCAGTTATATATCTTCAGTGATGCATGAAGAGAACCGTTCATAAATTTGCTACACTGAGAGAAATTATCCGACAAAACTTAACAAACAGATATTTCCGATCAATCTTTATATCCGATCAATATATCCGATTAAATTTTATCGGATACTTCCAATCAGAGTGGCATTTCATCAGATAAACCGATCAAAAAAATTTGAATCAATATTTCTCATCGAATGTTCCTTGATCGGATACAAAAATTCATCGGTATTTTAATCGGAAATATCCGTTCGTTAATTTTTTATCGGATAATTTCTCTCAATGTATTTATCAAATAAAATTACGTTTCTACATGGAAAAAACAATCCATACAGAAATCTGGTTGTGCCAACCAGATTCAATAGTAAAATACGGAACAACTATTTATGTGGTTGCTGTAACCAAAGAGCAATGGCTGAGTTATTTATGTTGCAGCAGTGATAATACATGATTAATACAAACGCGGATCATTACGCGGCAACTACAAATGTATATTTATACACTCAGAACCAGTTTTCACGTGTATACATCTCTAGCTGTACGCGTAGTGAATTGCTTTTGTTTTCTAACATCGCTGCTTTGCAATATAGCATTGATTAATGCAACTATATCGATATTTAGCTTGTCTATGCAAAATGATCCCCTTACTAATTTCTGGTTGCTACAATCAGATCACGCGCAACTTCATTGATGTAGTTGACACACCAAAGTAAGTAAGTCAAATCAACCATACACATAACTATCATACAAAGATATGTAGAATGATACAGCTATTTGCTTACAACTAAATATTTTTTGTTAGGTGCACCACATCTCTTTTTTCCGTGTATATATTATTTATTTCATTACCTATAAATAACAAATATCAATGGTCGATCTTCTCCAAATTGCACGAACAGTTAGACAATATTTCAATTTACAAATAGTGCAAGTTTCAATGAATTCTTAACGGTCTTATTTTGTCTTACAACCTCCTGAAACGACCGTGCATATTTTCTTTCTAACACAGCTAGATCGAAGATCTCGGCGCTCGCTCAATTAAGCAATATCGCGCGCAGCCGAGATTTGAATTTCAGATTGTCGAGATACCGCGAAAGTCGCGAGCATTTCAGTACGTTGTTATTAATTTTCTCGTGCGCGCTTACGTTCTGTGTGAGAATGGATTGCCGCCTTAAAGAGTTCTGACTTGCGCCGTATCTTATCGTGCTCGTTGCGAGCGCCTATTAACGCGGCAATTTTCTTAAATCGGCCTGTTATTACAAATTAATTGCCGGTTTAAGAAACAGCCAGTTAAAGCAATCACCTGCATCACGTTGTATCTTATCGGACACTGTTCAATGAAAGTGCTCATGACAGCCCGGCTATTTTTTAAATACCTGCTATTTTTCTTTTAATGCGGTATTTATTTACCGAGCTGTAAAACGTGCGGGAGGAGGACTGAATAATTTATTTAACTCGCGTTTTACGAAATACACTTAAGAGGCGCGTGTTATTTTTTATTTTGTAAATATATCGTCAGGAGAAATTATTTTACACGGCCTGTTTTCACGGAAGAATTCAAATGTCACAAAATAATGGAAATTAAATCAGTTTTCATCGTAATTTTGTTAGAAGTTCAGAAAAGAATCGATACATTTCTTTTTTCCGGAAAAAAAATCGTGATGAAGGCTTTCCTAAAAATTTATTTTCGTGATATTTTGTTTTTGAATCACCGAGTCGGAGAATCCACGAATCCACGCGTGCTTGGATCTCGTAGGATTTATTCCGACGACATGAAATTTGACGAGAAAATTGCCGTATCGATTCTATCGGTTAATGCATTAATTGACCCCCTTGCGAAGTGGCCGAAAATAATCACTGCTCGCCGTCGTCGTATCTTATTAGCGGGCGACGCCGCGTAATACCGGTTCCCGCTTTACAGTTTTCGTTATGCTCGCGCTGACCCTTGGAAGAGGAAAATATTGTCAATTAGCGTCGTTAGCCAATAACCGGGGCGCTCCCGTGCGCTCGTCCTTTGCGTTTTTTTATCGCGCATAATGTTTACCGCGGGGTATACGCGATGGCCGTTTTCGCAATGGCGTTAGCCATTAGGAAATAATCGAACCGAATGACGAAAAAGAGAGGCGGGCGCGATGAGTCGTGGACAAAGTAGCCGAGGAGTCGCTCCAGGATCAAAGGCCGCCGCCATCGGTCACACCTGCGCAACCTGACTGTACAGTCCGCTCGAAAAATCCCCGTCGACCGATGCGAGCTGCTCGTGTACATATAAGGTGATCGAGCGTCTCGCTTTTG